CGCTTATGCTTTCCTCTCAACTTCGGTTCATGTCTGCATATTATCAACAATACGACATTCAGTCTCAATATTCGTTCGAAGAAATATAGACAGTTTTTTTCTAAATATGCAGAAGTTGCATGCCAAAAGATTCTATTGTCATTGGTATGTGACATTCACTTTAAGACCAACGCATTACTTGGAAAATTTGTGATTGGATTCTTGCGAGCAGTTCAATTTATAATCTGTCATTTGAGATTAAAGTTTGCTCCCTTTGGACTTACCGCTTTGCAAAACTTTACTTAGTTCATACTCTCTGACAATGAGATTTTTAGTCAGTATCGTTTCTATTCGAATCTGTCACGTTATATTAATATCATCTAGATTCGGTACATTTATTACAAATTTTCTTTGTTGCTTTCGACAATTTGGTAATCTTTTATAGCAAGTGCTATGAGCATAAAACTTCACTGGGTCAGATATCTCTGAATGACAAATTTTAGAAATAATAGAGGAATAATATCATGCAAAAATGCTTTGGGAAAACCTCGCATGAATTTCTGTGGTCAGACAATAAATACTATTTCCTTTAACACATGATTAACGATTCATTCAGTGACACGAGTTCATCTTCCTCAATCACCATAATTACGCCGTTGTTTTCATGATTAATTTGTCTCAAACTTCAACCAAACATCAATGATGGATTTGTGTTTCGCAATAATATATACAATTATTTGATGTTATCGCTTCACGATAACCTTTGCAATGATTAATGCGACCGTATAATAATGCACACGCATCCTCCCTCACCTACGATTTGTATCATTCCAATTAGTCTAGAGGACCAACTGACACTAAAGATTTCAAAACTGTCATCATTGCTTGACTCTTCAAATATGGTCACTGGAGTAAGCACTGGCTTGAACATCAGTTATTTTAAAGCATTCAGTATGAATATGCTGCATGCATGCAGGTTGTATTATCCTATATAAGACCAGTCGGCATTAAAAACAACTTAAATATCGAAATTTCCGAATCGATTCCGTGAATGTATGAGAAATTTTAATGAAATAATTTTTAGTGATCAAAACCTACACTAGGAGCAACAAGTATTACTATCGTATGTGATTCTTATCCCATTAGGATGAAGAAGCTAATTATTCCTGATCAGAAGAAGTTCATGATTAATCTCAATCATATATTTTAGCGTGGTGTCAGTATCTTGGTAGGATATTGGACGCAAGGAACACCTGAAGCAATAACGATTGATGCAGAAATGGCTGGAATAGACCCTATTTACGGATTTCCACGAGTTTGTGATAACACTCCTGTTGCGGCTATGTTCCAGATGTTACCGATCGATCCGAAGGTAGGTCATCACTTTTTTTAAATCTCGTATTGTCTTTTGTGGTCGAACGCCAAATCGGTAACGAAAAGACAATGGGTATTTATCGCGTAAGCACGTTTTTCGGTTGAAATCATGCACGTTCTATTCGGATTGCCACAATTCAGTGAATTTGACATTAAATTGAACAAATTAAACGAAGCGCTCCTCCGTTCAACGTGAACCGTTTTAGACTGGAAAGCTGGACAGCAATGAAATCCATGATGAAAAGCAAATGATAGTGGAACTGGAAGCGAAATGCTTCAAGGCTCGTATAGCATTCGCCAAACATACAGAACGATGTCCGTGGTGCTTGATGACACCCACTCAAATGAGTCCACAGGTTCCATATTTCTTCAGAAGTCGTTTTGTATGCTTCAGTCGAAGTCGGCACTGGTGAAAAAAGCATTCTGTCAGCTTGCGGGCTATTTATTAGTGAAAAATAATTGCTAAATGGTTCAAATATACACGGATTCCTTTCATGAGTTTTCATTCTTATTACTTGTGAGGAAAAAACTCGCTCAATATTTCCATCCTATGAGATACTCGGTGAAGCAAAGTGCGTCCGCTGCATACCTCATCGAATAGGCGTAAAACCGGTCTAGCTGCGATAAAATCTACTGACTTCATCGGTGCTGTGAAAGAAATTGATTTCGAGCTGGTGTGACAAGCTTATCTTATACGACGTAGCAATAAACATTCCAATCAGTTGGGGAAATTTCGCCGTCAAAAGTCGATCATTTGAAATACACGTTTGCTGGAACACTGAAACTTTGGATTTGCTTCAGTGATTTATATTTTCCAAAAAAACTGACATGCGTACTTGATCTTTGCGAAATATAAACGTCTCAAAAAGTTCTTATAACGATGAGAGTTTTTCATGCAGCATTGCCATGTTGATAACAATTCTCTATGCTATCATTTTCATACACTATGAATTTGTGTCGGAAATCTCATTCAGAAACTGAAATTCTTCAGGCGATTGACGTATCGACAGATGCAGAGGCACGATTGGATGAGGATGGCGATATGATGTATGGAAATGAATTGAGACTGCTCGGTTTGGGACTGTTGGCGCTGTTAGCAGTGCTCAGCTCAACGGCATTCATCTGCATACTCGCCATGTTCTTACAGCAAAAGCGATCACTATTTCCCTCTTCGTGCTATCCCAACAACAAATACGATCGAACAAATCGTCTCGGTGCGTGTTCGTTACAAACACCTCGGCACAATATCAATGTCACTGCACCCCACGATGGGTACGTCTACTGTAAATGAGTATATTATGGGACCGATTAGTAGTGAATGCACTATGAATGAATAAAGTTACGCATAGAAGACTAAACGTAAAATTATCATGATATTAAAGCTAATCGAACTGCAACATCTACTGAGTGCTATAGCTGGAGAAAGATGAATGCTTATGAGATGTATCGACACGTCCCTTTGACCTGTTGTGTCAATGTGATCGTGAATTGTTTCGGGCATTGTTGTGGAACATTTGAAGTGATCGCAAAATTCTTTGGCATAATAGATCAATTCATAGTTGTGTTGCTCAGAATGAATGGTTTAAGTTTAGTGGAAGCGGTTCGTTAACAGAAACTTATTCAGATACGAGGAGTTCCTCGATCAAGTTCATCCGTACTGGCTTCACTGTCCTGCCAACAACACCAGCACTGGACTGTTTACACCAGTCAAAACCCCCGCATCACGACCATCACTCGGCCAACGAACCACCGTCTATCATCAACTCTCGGCCAATTCCACTCTCGGTGTCCACACTGACGACAGTGGGCTCGAGTCCTTCTAAGCAATTCTTCTCTACTGGTTCTTTGTAATCAGACATCTTTGCAATGAGAAAACTTTTTGAAACTGATCATTTCCGAAAACATGTGAAATAGATGATTGACGGATAATCAGACAGAACGACGCTTCATCAATGGTCAATTCGATGAACTTAATGAAGACTTTGTGATAGCCATAATCAGTAATAATTATCGATAACATTGAAATGTTCATTGAAGGTCCTCATTCTAGAGTTTTTATATCCATTATCGATGATTCAACTGGAAACTTGAGATGATTAAGAACGTTAGCTTAACACTGAAAACTTAATCGATTCAGGTTAGTCTCATAAGGAAGAATACTAACAATAAGACTGGTTTTAAAACAATATTCAAATGCAAAGATTTGTACATAAATAGGTATCAACGAGCTTATTCAAGTATATAATTTGTATGTATGTAAGATGTGATATATCTGCGTGAATAACGAATTCAAGAAGTGATTGCTGAACTGGAAAAGATCACATCCGTACTTTCCAGGCGTTTTCAAGAAGTTCAGTTTAACCCACAATTTTGAGAACCGAATAAATTTGACTAGAATTTCCAC